GCGGAGTGCCGAAAGGTAACTCTAGTAAATTGCTCGTGTCATTGAGTTACCTCACTTGAGGGTAGGTTCTTGCGGTGTCCAATTGTGTGGACGAGGTTTGTGCAACACCTCTTAGCCGCCGAACCACCAAGTGTTGGTCGACACAACGGGGACGTAGCATGTTGGTAAGCACGTGAACCTCGGGAGAAAATCGGTTGTCTCTTGCCCTTTGGTATTCTCCCGGTGATTGATTTCATCTTCATCTTGTGATTGGTTCATTCCTCTACACGTCGGTATAATCACCCTACTCACTCATTTATATTCTTGCAAACTAGTTATGGCAAGCTCTTTAGTGTAATTAGAATTGAGAGCTTGCTTTGTTATTTTAAGTTTATCTAGTGGAGCTCTATAGAGTAGCAAGATTGAGAGCACTTGGTGAGTAGTAACTTTGCAAGTTGTGTGCCTAGGAATCATTGCAACTAGAATTGTTGGATAGGTGGCTTGCAACCCTTGTAGGGCTAGAGCAAGTTTTCTTTTCGCTATTTGTCATACTAATCAAATTGCTTTAGTTGATTTGTAGATTTTTAAATAGGCTATTCACCCCCCCTCTAGCCATATTAGGACCTTTCACCCTCCCCTCCCCCTTCTTCTTCCCCCGCCGGCACCCCTCCCCTCCCCTTCTTCACCCGGCCGGATCCGGCCCTCCCTCTCCCGGGATCCGGCTGGTGGCAGCCGGATCTGGCGGTGGGCCCTCCCCTCCCCTTCTTCTTCTCCCGGTCGGATCCGGCCCTCCCTCTACCGGATCGGGCCGGTGGTGGCCGGATCTGGCGGCGGGCGGCGTGGTGTGGTGGTGGCGACGGCGGCTTTGGTGGTGGTGGTGGTGGTGGCTGGCGGCTTTGGTGGTGGTGTTGGTGGCGGTGGCTGTGGTGGTGGTGGTGGTGGTGGTGGGCGGAGGCTGTGGTGGCCGTGGCGGCGGCGTGGTGGTGCCACCGGCGATTTGTTTTTTCCCCGAAAAATGTTTGCCGAGTGTTTTTTGGCACTCGGCATAGTTTTTGCTGAGTGCCCGACGATTGACACTTGGCAAACAGCTCTTTGCCGTTAAAACATACGCCAAGTGTCATTTGCCAAGTGTAACACTCGACAAACGCTTTGTCGAGTATTTTTGGGGCTTTGACGAGTGCCCTTGGCACTCGGCAAAGCTCCTGTATCCCGTAGTGTTCGCCGGCGCCCCGCCACCGCCATGGGCGTGCACGCCGGGGTAGCTGCACTCTGCCCGTGGCCACGGCCCCGACCGCGCGTCACTGCCACCGCGTGGACCTCACGGGCCCCGTAGCTGCCACCTCCGTGTTGCCCGCGGCCATCTCCGTGAACGCGCGCGCGTAGGCGAGCGAGGACACGCGAGCAAGCGCCGCTGCGGGTGTGCATGCGAGCCACCACGGCCACACGAGCGAGTAGGTGCAGCCAGCATGTGGACGCGCGTGCGAACAGGGGTCACGAGCACCATCACATAGAGAGAACAACCGCCATGCCACTACATGCCATGAGCGCCGGTGGCGTGCTCGCGTACGTCGCCCTCGCGCTCGCTGGTGCCAGGTGCTGGTGCCACGGCGCCAAGAACCCACTGTTCCGCAAGGCCACCGCGTATGAACCTGAAGCAGGGGCGCCGAGCAGGCACGTGTGGGTGAGCACTGAGCAGCCGTGTGAGCGGGCGTGTGCGCATGTAGGGTCGCGCGAGGACGAGAAGCGGGGCTTGGTCGCGGGATCCAGCCGCGGCGCATGGAGCACGCGGGTTGGAGGCGGCACCGAGGCTTGGACGTGGCACTTGTGTTGCGTGAGGCTAGAGCGCGGGCGGCAACCGTGGGTCTGCGGAGGAGGAACAGAGAGCCAGCGCCTTCTGTTGCTGTGCTGGCAGACAAGGTGGTGGTAGTGGAGGAGGTGCAGTCTGGGCGCAGCCCGTCTGCCGCAGCCTGCGCCGCCGGGGTGCCGCCGGCAAATGAGGTCAGGAGCATGGCCACCCCGTCGCGCGCATGCGTGCTAGACGGACGCCGCGCCGAAGCCGGACTCGAGCGCGCGGGGATGCCTAGGAGGAGGATGGCGGCGCCCGTGCATGATGCCGGTTCAACGCCACGCGTCGCGGCCGCCGGCGCCAGCAAACCCACGGCAGCGGAGTGCGGATGCTCGGGCGGTCGACGTCGACGTGGGTGACTGAGGCATCGAAGATCACGGACAGTGGCCGCCCTCCCTTGCCGGCCTCGCATGGCAGCCAGCCCGCTCGACCAACCCCAACGTGGCTGCCCGGCGCAGCTTCTGGGTGCTCGCGTGGCAGCGTGACTGCACCAGCACGGGCAGTCGGCCGCTCGCACGCCCGTGTGGCCACGGCAGCGGCACCTACTTGCGCGCTCACAATGTGTTTGACGAAATAAAGGGTCAATAGTTGCTTTGGACGGACAAGTCAGCGGGCCACATCAGCATAAGAAGTCCATGTGGAGAGATATGGACCTAAGTGATATGGCATACAAAGTTTATGGACCCGAAAAGACACTTTAAAAATTGATGGACCTTATTGAAACCTCCTAACAAGTTAATGGAGCTCTGGTGCATTTAACTCTTAATTCATCCTTCTTGCGGATTGACACCTAATATATGAACTATGTTTGGACCTCTGTCAGAAAAAAGAGAGATTCAATTCTGATGTTTCTAAACAAAAGTGATTCAGGTTTCAGAATGGGAAGGAATCCACTATAAACTTTTGACCAAGTCATCCCGAACCTATTTAACTACGATAACGGGGTACTTGGCAGTTTGTTTGTTTGTTTTTTTTTTGGAAAATGGGTTAGTGCTTGACAGTTGACACAGTGCTGGTGGTGGCTGCTTAGGTTCAGGTGTATATACATAGTATTTCCTTAATGTCTACACAGCGCAGTATTTCCTTAATTTTGTCATTTGGTAGAAGTTAATCTTTCTGGTGGTTTTCATGTGGAACTTTTTTTGTGTGAACAGTTTTCATGTGGAACTTTCAGTCACAAGAAAACAGATTTTAAATTTTATGAATTATATTATCGATATGCAGCATTGTATTCAAAATAAAATAAAATTATGTGCACAAAGTTTATTATCGTTTTTGTTTTCAAAACATAGCACAACCCACCCTGTTAATCAGGCAGGCAACGTCGACAGGCATTGTCGTCTACGGTCTACAGACGAAAAAATAAGTAGTTAGGACACTCCTAATACATATAAACTAACATGTTTCTATCTCTATTAATTATCTTGTTACATGGACATTTTGCGGATGCGTCACGGTACTTTATTGAAGAGAGAGAGTAAGAATTGAAGAAACGGTAACTGTGTCTTCACGTGAATCGATGGTGGAAGAAACTACGAATGCTACATTGTGGAGGGCTACTAGATCCATCCAGTAGTTGGATGAGGAGAGCGGATTGGTTAAGGGGTAAGAAAGGACCCCGCACGAAAAAATCTACACTGTAAGAGATGTGATTTCCTTGGATAGTTTCGTAGACTATGAAAATCATCCAATAGTTTATGCATTGATAGTGCCCTTAAAAAAATATGAGCACTTGTATTGAATCGACGAGTCAAACTTGGTTGGGCAAGTTCCACGTCAAAGAACACGGAGACTTAAGCTACATCTAGTTTTCAGTATCACTCTTGATATATGGCTTCATTATTTAATTTTGAGTTTTATATAAAATTTGTGAAAAAATTCTTGTGCTTCGCCGGAAACGCGTTGTTTGTACCAAACATTTATACCTTAATAATTACAAAGATATGCAAATTTTTTGTTTATTCGAGAAAAAAAGCCAAGTCTTCCATTTTTCATTGTCGAAAAAAGGTACGTATCCTCGATTATTGCCGCTTGCTGCTATTCGATCGAACAAAATACGTCAAAAACAAAAACGAAAGTTTACCATATTCGAACTTGCATTTGCCCTGTTCGGTTGGCTGATAAGCCATGACTGAAAATACTATTGGCTGATTTGTTGTGAAAGAAAAATACTGTTCGTTGGCTGAAAAAGTACGGCTGCCAGTCAAAGTGTCGTTTCGAATGGAATTATATATATTTCCGAGTAGTGGTAATAATAAATCTCTATTGAATATGTACATGATAAGTTTATTCTTATTGTTTTTGGAGAGATAATACGTTTATTCTCATGAAAAGCGGTGTGCCCAATAAATCAGTGTTTGGAAGTATTTGTGCTCGAATGGAGAAGCTGATGAACACACTTTACATTGATTGTGATATGGCTAGCTAAAACATAGCTAGTAATACATGGACATTATTTCACAAGCATTGACCGACCATCGATCGATCAATGTCAATCTAATAATTAACTAATGTACAATTGTAAATCATATATACAGGAGGGGTGAAATTAAACATGATACTTCTCTTCCATTCTTCGCCTCCTCCTCCTTCTTCCCTATATAGCTAGGGTTATTTTCGGAGAGCCATTGTACGGTAATATTATAAGTTTACACCAACAGTTGCAAGGAACTGTCATACATATTTTGTACGTCTCGGGCGGCCGTCATTTATCTTCATCACTGCAGCTTCATATACTTGCCCCTGCTGGTGCATCCAATAAAACACGTAATTAAGGACCAGTTTGATACAAGAGCTAATTACTAGCTAGCTAAAAATTAGCTAAAATTAGTCCTAGTGCATCTAAATAGGTAGGCTAATAGATAGAAAAAAATTAGTCAAGTTTCTAACTAGTTGTTAACCAACTAGCTAGTCAAACTAAGTTAAGTTGAGCTAATTTTTAGTTTAACCAGTAATTAGCCCCAGCTCATGCAAACAGGCCTTAAGAGATGCGTTGGGTGCATGCATGTGAGGGCATGTGTCAATGTAGCTTGCTAGCTCTTCTTATGTGTCAGACAACGGAGATGTCGGCAAAGGATGATATAGGATGCATGTGGAATTAAGGTACATATATTTATCTAGTATCTACACATATATCTAGCTAGCACTAGCACCGTTTTGTTTGTTTGAATATGGGCTATATATATGTGTATCTAGATACCTTTCCAATAATAAAGCTTATCACTGCCACACATGCATGCATGCATCAGGATTAGATCTCATGTGACCAACCAGCTCTACTGTAGTGCATATGCATGTCCACACTTTCCACATGCAAACACCTACGTACCAAACTGCCGACCTAACAGCTACGAGCAAAAGTAAGTTGTTGATGATGGCTACGTCGCGTACCTGGTGGCGGCCTGTCGTCGAGGCCGCCGCCGGCGACGGGCGGCGCGCTGCCGTAGCCGTAGCGGGGGAAGGGGACGCGGCTGGCCTCGATCAGCTGGGTGACGTCGTGGACGAGCTGCTCGAAGTGGCGGCGGACCTCGTCGGCGGACTTGGTGCCGCCCATGTAGCGGGCGATGTTGTGCCACCGATCAGGGGTGTCCCGGTCGTACACCGCCAGCGCGCACTCGAACTGCTTGTTCTGCCGCTGCGTCCACGCGCGGGACGACGACGACGACCCGCCGGAAGCCATTGTTCTGTTCGTTCTACTTCTAGCTAGCTCGAGCACGGGCCGGGGTACTCTGAATGCTGCTAGCTGCTGCTACGATTTCTACAAGTGTGAAGCAGTGTCAGTCACTACATCAGATCTGCTTTGTAGGGGCGGCTACGTATTTGTAGGGGCGAGCACGGGCCGGGGTACTCTGAATGCTGCTAGCTGCTGCTACGATTTCTACAAGTGTGAAGCAGTGTCAGTCACGACATCAGATCTGCTTTGTAGTGGCGGAAGCGTGGCTACAAATCGCCGATTTATAGGGGCGGTTCCCCGACCACCCCTACAAGGCTGGTGTTATCAGCTGCCCCTACAAATCGATTTGTAGGGCGTCTGGTAACACCAGCCGTCCCTACAAAATCGATTTGTAGGGGCGGCCGTAGTACCAGCCGTTCTTATAATATCTGTTTATAGGGGCGGTTCAACAGTATATTTTTTCGCAAAGAAAATTCAAATTTACAATTCAAATTCGACTAGAACATATATTTTTTATGCACAACTCCATCATGACTTTTCTTCTTTTACGATTGTACTGAAACTCAATGACAATACACATTTATTTATACCGGATTATTACAAATATTCCATGACTTTTAGGTGGACAGTTTAGTCCAGATAAATGAAACAACAAATTTCATATATTAAACTTTTTAGTAATCGTAATAACATTTCATGGTCACTATGATTTTTATGTGAAAGACCACAGAATAACAAAATCAATGGCGCTCAAATCTAGCAATCGAACATCACAAAATCAGAAGCTTCTAATAATCCTTCCACTTGCAGAGTTGCAGTCACACATCAGGTCAATGTAGCACTAAAGCAGACTGAAGACCTCTGCTGCCTCCAGTTCCACCCATAGGAGGAATGCAGCTTGAGCTTTCTCGACAGTCTTTGGTCGGCCAGTGAGGCACTTGGCCACGATTGCATCACAAACCTCCTTCACGTATCTGAGAGAAGCCAACTCCATAAATTGTTGAAGATGACAAATAATCAGAAGCATAAAGGGGAATGCCTTGGCAGCCGAAGGCACACACCTTGATGCATCGGCGTCAGCAGCTCGCTGGAACGCGAGGAGAGCGTCTAGCGCCTTCTCCTATACCGGCGCATTGGAATCTGCAACCGTCTTCTTAAACAACGGCCCTAACCACCGGAGTAGAACATAAAAACACTGGACTTCAGATCTTGCACCCAAAAAATGGTTTGAAATCCGCAAATGGAACCGCACTAATCGAGCATAGCGCAGATCCGAGCGCGAAATGGGGCGGATCGGGAGGCGTAGGGGAGGGTATTATCTCACCGAATTCGCGGAGGCGGGCGTCCTTAGGGTCGGTGATGGAGTCGCATAGCGCGGCGAGGTCGATGTTTGCGTCATTCCTCACCTTCCAGTTCTTATGCTGCAGCCGCTCGTCCCACGGCAACTTCTTCGTCTCCTTGAGGAGCTTCTCGTCCTCCGTCGACATGGCCAGGGACGGCTCCGCCGAACGAGCGGCACTATAGCCTCTCGTGTTCTACAGCGGCTGGAAATCGCAGCAACCTAGCGCGGCAACCTAGCGCGGCGACCTGCGTAGCGCGGCGAGCACGGCACGGCCATGGCGCGGCGTGCAGCCAGCGGCTCGGAGACGGGCGGCGCGCTGCCGTAGCCGTAGCGGGGGAAGGGGACGCGGCCGGCCTCGATCTGGGTGACGTCGTGGACGAGCTGCTCGAAGTGGCGGCGGACCTCGTCGGAGGACTTGGTGCCAACCATGTAGCGGGCGATGTTGTGCCACCGGTCAGGGGTGTCCCGGTCGTACACCGCCAGCGCGCACTCGAACTGCTTGTTCTGCCGCTGCGTCCACGCGCGGGACGACGACGACGACCCGCCGGAAGCCATTGTTCTGTTCGTTCTACTTCTAGCTAGCTCGAGCACGGGCCGGGGTACTCTGAATGCTGCTAGCTGCTGCTACGATTTCTACAAGTGTGAAGTAGTGTCAGTGTCAGATCGATCTATGTAGCTATAGCTTGCTACTGCCAGATGTCAAGTGCATGCATCATGCGGGCAAATGGTTCGTTATTACTGAGATAATGAAACTGTCTGGCAGGAGGAGCGTATATATAGAGCTAGAGAGAGCGTGCGCATGCACTGCACACGTATGGTACGGTCGGAACAAGATAGCGGGCCGAGCTCGCTGCTGACACCTACGTGACGTACGTGCGTGCTCCGATCCTTTATTTGTCGTCTTTGCTTGCCGCCGTGTGCCACCTCTGACCTCTCTCTCTCTCTCTCCTTGACCATGGTCCATGCATGCATGAGGCTGATACTGTGCTTCCTCACGTGACAAGCAAGCAAGGATAGTTAAGAGACTAGAAGTTAATAAAAAAAATCTAAATACACGCGCGCATCATGCGTGTGTGATTTCTAGCCTTCAAATTAAGTTTCTGTTTGGATCTAGATTTTTTTTAGGTCAATGTCGAAGGAGCTGAGGGACTCCACCAGAATAAATTTACCACAGATTCCGGCAAGCCGATAATGAAGACGGTGCAAAACACCTGATACATGGGCGACCCTTGAAAAGTCCAACAGGGTACAAAGAGAGAGGGAAGAGAGATTGCAACCAACAACAACACCAGCAATATCACATACAGAGATACAACCACACTAACCACATGCATGGAGAACTAACAATGCTACAACTCTCACTACCGAGGCATGTCGATGAACGCCGAATAATGCACCGCCAAGATACAAAATTCCGATGAGCTCCAGTCCATGGGCTGTAAGGCACTGATTCAGTCAAAATTGATAGACGACAGCTGTGAAGTACATCTTCTATGGAGCTTATACGGGATCTAATCACCTTCCACCTACGCCCCTAGAGGAGAGGAAGCCTCCAAGGTTGGAGGACCGACGGTTGGAGAACGAGGAGATCCAAAAGAGGGGATCATGGTCCCGCTAACCTGGCATATGGTGAGAAGAAGCTAAGCAATCGAGGAACCTGGAGGACGTCAGGGCAAAGTCACCGGCAGCAGACACCACCCAACAAACAGCCTGTGCCTAGGACCGACGATCTAGATAGTGATGTAGAATATAAATTTTAGACAAAAATAATGAAGGGTGTTTGAATCCATTGCACTTGCATAATTAGAGTCTCCAAAAAGCATAGTTTGGATAGTTTGTTGGGTTTTAGAATCTCATTCTAGAATTCAAGTGTCCCATTCTCATTTTTATATCTATCCATTCTCATTTTCCTTAGGAGATCCAAACAACACCTAACTCATTAAATATTCTATATATGATGTTTTTTAAAAAAAAAAGATAAATAAACAATATGAGTCAGTATATATCTTATATTGTCAATATTGTATGTGTGTAATTCTTTACAAATTACTGAGGTTCGAGTGAGGACGACATATATTTTGGATTGTAGGAGTACACACTGACTATTCAGGCTTGGATTGACCTTTTGTCTACTATACAAAGTTACAAACAAATTCATGCATATTAATTGCAGTTGATATGTTAATCTGATCTTCGATCTGTACTGTGTAAAGTTTATTTTTTTTTCTCTTTCTTTGTAAGCTTTATATCTACACAATTAAGTCGACACGCACGCCCTTCCCCATACCGGTCGTCTTTTGCGATGAAAGCGAATCGGAACCTCTTGTTAATTATCAAAATCTATATCTTCACTGAAAATAAATATATATGTGCCACAGATTATCTTGCTGGAATCTCCATCGCTCATATATATATATTCTCTAGAAAGGAAATGCATGGTACCCTTTGTTTCTTTCGTTGAACGGAATGTAATAAAATACCAGCTAGTATATCAGTTTGTGGTGCACTGCACTGTTTGAAGAGCATCTTGCAAGATGCTATAGCTCTGAAAAATTCACTTGAGAACAAAGACCGCAAATAACATTTTTTTATTCAGAAAAAAGGAAGCTTTATTTCCTGCCTCTGTCTACGACACCACAAATAATACACAAGATTATGTGTATTTATATAAGATGCTCCCACGGTGTGTGGAATTGTTCCAAGATCATGCATTCACTGATGAGCCGGAATGATACGTTGCCGCTCTCAAATCAAATTACATCACACAAGTTGGTCTCCCCATGCTGCAGGTAGGGTGCCGGATTCTGTCCTGGCAACTGCTGTCTACCAAGAAGAACATATGCTGCCAAGGCCAAGCAACCTGCATGCAGTTAAGCGCGTAGATTCATCAGGGCCCTTTCCTTTCCCCTGCCTGGCCTGGCCTGGCCTGAACTGCCTCCAAATGGAATCCTTATCATTTCTCTGTTGGACCGGGATCTCCCGCACGGGTAAACCGACTTGTCACTGGGTGAGCCAATCACTCACCGGCGTTCTCGCACACACACTATGATTGGAGGTAGAAGAGGGAGGAAGAACAGAGCGCACACACACAGCACAAGCAACAGCGTTGGCCGAAGCTCTGCAGAGGAGATGGCAAAATTGAACTCGCTCTCTTTACTGAGTTGCAGTGGGAAGCTATATATACAACTCTATCCATCTAATCCTAGTACACAGACATGTCAGACTGTCATACGGCAACAGTGACTAGATGTGACAGTTAAAGATGGCAAGGGGCAGAAAAAACCCGCGTACCCGCGGGCACCCGACCCGGCGGGCGCGGATACGGGCATGAATCTGTGCCCGCGGGCACGGGCACAGGCACAGATTGCTGCCCGTGGCGGGTGACGGGCGCGGGCGTGCGAAGCCATTATTCGCGCAGATATTACTAAAGATGGCAACGGGCAGAAAAAACCCACGTACCCACGGGCACCCGACCCGGCGGGCGCGGATAAGGGCATGAATCTGTGCCCGCGTGCACAGGTTGCTGCCCGTGGCGGGTGGCAGGCGCGGGTGCGGACATGAGATTTTTCTCGCGGGCGCGGGCGTGCGAAGCCACTATCCGCGCGGATAAGTGGGGCTGACTTTGGCGCCAGCCACTGGTGTGGCTACAGTGCGGCAGGGGAGCCTTTCGGCGCCTGCCCCTGCCGTGGCTACAGTGCAGCAGCAGGGAGCCCTTTCGGCGCCTACCCCTGCCACGCGTTCAGAGATGGGAGATCAGCAAATTACTTTATAATTCTTTCCCTAATCCTGCTGCTAACCCTAGAACCTCCATCATGCCGATCATCTTCTAACCAAACACGGCCGAGCGACTTGGTGAGGACGTCCGCGGGTTGCCAACCAGTTTCGACGAACTCGATGACGATCTGTCCTCCATCGACACAGTCCCTGAGGAAGTGGAACTTGATGTCGATGTGTTTGATCCGGTCGTGGATAACCGGATTCTTTGCAAGGGCGATGGCAGCCTGGTTGTCCACCATCAGTGCGGGTGGGTGAGCTTCCACACCGGTCAGCTCGCCTAGCAGCCGGCGCAGCCACACAGATTGCCACGCCGCTGTGGCCGCCGCCACGTACTCTGCCTCGCACGTGGATAGTGCCACCACCTTCTGTTTCAGCGACAGCCATGAGATTGGAGTCGACCCGAGGAAGACAAGCACGCTAGAGGTGCTCCGCTGTCCGTCGATGTCCCCCGCCATGTCTGCATCGCTGAACACAGTGAGCTGCAGCCCACTTCCACAGTCTTGGGGAAGACGATCCCCTGAACCACCGTCACCTTGACGTAGCGCAGCAGCCGCTTCACCGCGGCCCAGTGATCCTCTCGGGGATCCTCCATGAAGCGGCTGATGTAGCCCACGGCGAACGCAATGTCCGGCCTCGTGTGGACTAGGTAGCGTAGACCGCCGATGATGCTCCGATAGAGTGTTGCATCTACCCTCCCAGCGGTACTAGCCTTCGTCAGTTTCAGTCGCTCCTCCATCGGAGTCATGCACGGCTTGCACTCAACTATGCCGCTCCGATCCAACAGCTTCGAGGCGTACATGCTCAGACCGAGCGTGAGCGCCTCCTTCCCCTGTCTCAACTCGATACCGAGATAGTAGGAGAGCGCATCGAGATCGCTCATTCAAAAATGAGCCGCCATCTCACGCTTGAAGCTGTCGATGTCCTCCGCACGCACGCCGGTGATGATCAAGTCATCCACATACACGCCAACGATGAGCTCCTCCTTCCCCCGTCGTCGCGTGTAGAGCGCGTGCTCGGTTGCGCACCGCGTGAACCCAAGCTCACCCAGTGTGGCATCAAGCTTGGCGTTCCACAATCACGGGGCATGCCATAGCCCGTAGAGCGCCTTGCGTAGTTGGAGCACCCTGTGTTCCGCTCCCTTAACGGCAAAACCCGGAGGTTGCCTCACGAACACCGTCTCCGCCAACTCGCGATTGAGGAAGGCCGATTTTATGTTCAGGTGATGGACGCGCCAGTCCTTCGCTACTGCCAAAGCCAGCAGCAGTCACAAAGGCTCTCGTACTACAGTGCCACACCATGTGGTTGAACCCTAGCTAGAAATAGCAGCTTTGTTAATTGCAACTAGTGATGTATTGCACTTACATACAGTGCTAACAGATTTGTGATCCTTGTTAGTTCAGCTGTTGTCAACTATGTTTGTCCGGATAAATATATTGTCTTAAGAAGAGGGGATCATGTATGACATGTTGATGAGGACATGAGCTCCATGCATACGACCATGCTTGGAGATAGAGGACTAGGAGATTAGCGAGGGTGTCCTAACCGAAAAGGAGGCTTGAAGCTCATTCGGTTCGAGTCACCAAGGTGGAGGAACAAATCAAGTTCGAGCCCATCTCGGGTTCCAGGATCAGTCTGTCATAAAACTGGTCTCACGGGCGCGTCTAGGCTCTATTTTCGACGATCCACATATGGATGACACTACACCACGACACACATTTGCCTACACTTCTCTGTTGGCAAATGATTGGTTTTGACAACACACTATGTGTTGGTAATTG